CTATTTAGCCAAGTTGTTGTTACATTTCATATCCACAGTATATGTAAAAGTGACCAAAAACATAAATTAATTTCCCCTACCCCCATCTTAAATAGTTTAAAATAGGGTATTTTAGGTCAAAATTTCAAAGTACTGTAAAAAAAATTACCCAAGTCCCAGGCATGGGGATTTTTTTTCTGAGACACTATAGGGTATGCTGATTCAGAAAAACCAAAAATTAATTTTCCTTTACTTTTTTCCCGCTAAAGTTCATTTCAGCAGTTTTACAACCAGACTACTACTCAGTGTTAAAACACCGCGGCGAGAGTGTAACAATTTTAAAACCAGGCTTACGCTACGCACCACGTGTACCATCGTGCACGCTACGTTAATCCATGGCCGGGTCAGAATATTTACGAATTAATATAATAGAAAATAATTGTGTATCATGGCGATCCATGGAAGCACGCGTGAACAATTGAATTCATCTTCTGATTAATCGCGGGAGAACATTTTTTTTAAATGTTTCAGACAAATTTCCGGTAGTTATGTAAATTGATGCGGTCCACTGACTCGCATTTCTTAGAATCAATATCACTAAGCTTATATTTTCAGCTACAAAAGGATTAAAAGATCCACATCAAGTTGAGAACCTTCAAGATCAGGCTCAGGTTATGCTGAATCAACACATACAGACCCATCATGCCTCGCATCCGGTCAGGTGAGACGCACGGTATCAGGATGACGATAATGATGATCATAATGAATCAAATGATGAATTACGAATACGATAGGAATGATGATGATGAAGACAATGAGATTGATGATATTAAAGATAATGAAGATGGTGATAAATGATGATGGATGATAATGATAGTGATCATGATAAAAATGATATTAATGAATTATAATGATGATGATGATGATGATGAGGATGATGATGATGATGATGATGATGATGATGATGATGATGATGATAAACGAATATGACGATTGATAATATTAATAGTAATAATGATAATAGGTATTTTTGCTAACAAACTACATTTGTTATAAAAAAATTATATAATTGCTTTAATAGTAGTTTATGTCTTAATTTGGCTTAACTATGTTTAGGCCTGCTATTGTATAACACTGTAGACAAACGAATCGCTTAACTGAAACACGCGGTAATAACAATTACACGGTACTTCTCCAAATACGAATTAATATATGTACAAGGTTAGCATTCATATACAATAATTTACCCGACTAGCATGTGAAATTTGAGCTATACGTGTATTTTGACCTCTATACAAATAATATTGTCCTCAACGTTTAGCATTCTTCTTTTTTAAATCAATATTTGATTAATTTTTATTCAGATTCGGTCGTCTTCTCCTTATGATGCCTTCGTTACGTTTGGTTGCAGCCGAGAAAATCGAGCTTCTGTTTTTCCGGCCTACGATTGGAGACACGCCTATGGAACGTCTGCTCTGTGATAT